TATTTGCTGCCTTGACGAAGGTCCCGTGGCCGAAAGCCAACAAGAAGCGGGAGACAATACACAGACTCTGTTCTACCTTCGCTTAGCCCGAAGTCTGGTGAATTAATGTTTAGTAAGCCTGCAAACTGCGCAAAACACATACCGTGCGTTTGGGCAAAATGAATCTTTCGTTTTCAAATACTGGTCGGATTTAGCTCATTCTTTTCTTAATCGCTTCGTCTTGAATTAAAGATGATGAATCCCCAGTTTAGTGAAGGCTAAATATGAATGGTGATAGACTTATGTGCCTTCGCGACATGGGGAATCCAAGCATTTGCTTGGGTCGGATTGGCACGTATTGAAAATAAAATAGCTCGAAATTTTAAAAACTTGCAAAGAGAAAATCCACTACGGTAGTACTTGATTTTCAATACTTCCCTCTCGTATTATTATAAATTTTGGCCTGAGTGCAGAACTATTTTCTATTTAAATATCGCTGTTCTGAGTATATTAATTTGCTCAGAATGTATGGCAGTAGCGAAATTTGAAACAACGATATCTATTTTAATATCCCGTTGTATTGATTATAAAAACCCTCACCTGATGAACTGATTTCTCCTATATTCGTATATACCTTCAGATCTGAAAAGTGATACATGGAAGAATTAACCAATACATTCGCACGGTATGTTCTGGTTTGCCCAATGAAATGCTTGTCATACTCCAAAATGCATCCTGAGCAACAGCGACTAATCCATCACAGCCGAGGGCCTCTGCTTCTCAAGTTTGCCCTATTGCACCGTAGAGGCTACAGTACTCAGCTAACGATACCTAATGTGAGCTTCACATTGGACACCTTTACCGATGCCGACTACCTCCCCAAGTTCCGCTTTTCCATGTCCACCCTGCAATCCCTTGTCACTTTCCTTCGTATCCCACCACGCGTCGTTACCCCAGAACGAACCACTTGCAGTGGTGTCGAGGCTCTCTGTATCCTGCTCCGCCGTTTTGCAGTCCCCGATCGATGGTCCGACCTTATCACTATCTTTGGCAACATATTTCTGCACGTGCTCGACCACATTTACTCCAACTTTGCCGAAATCATCTTTCTGGACCGCAAACGTATCAGCCTCAAATTACACGAGTTCAGCCAAGCGGTCGTAGCAAAAGGAGCCGAAGTTCACAACGTATGGGACGGTACGAGAGTGCTGCCGGCCGGATGGAAACGAGCGACACCGGACAGTGTACAATCGACACAAACGACGTCATGCCGTCAAATACCAGACCCTGGTGGCCCCCGATGGAATCATTGCCCATGCATTTGGGCTAATCGAAGGTCGTCGGCCCGACCTGACAATACTGCGCCATACTTGGAAAATGATATTGCTGGGGATGCTCGGTTTCAAGGATTAGTCGTGTACGGTGACTCGGCTTACGGTTACTCCGACCAGCTGGCTTCTCCGTTTGGTGGAGCACGTTTGACAGAGGCCCAACGCAGAGTGAACAAAAGTATGAGTCGGGTGCGAATAAGTGTGGAATGGTCCTTTGGACAGGCTCTACAATATTGGCCAATTGACGACTTCAAAAAAAAGATGCGCATCGGAAATAGCCCTATTTCCAAGATGTACAAAGTCGCCGTTCTGTTGACTAACTGCATTACTTGTGATCGAGGTAGAAATACAAATAGCGTGTACTTTGGTTTACCCCCACCGTCATTAGAAGAATATTTGCATGTTAACATAGAATGAATATAATCAACGACGGATTTTAAGGGACACTTTTTCCTTCGATTTTACCATGACAAGGAAAATTCATTGGGCGAAGGACTTCGAAATTCGAATGATTTGTGGCCAACCAAATTGCAGCTCCTGCAATTTGAACAATTTCAAACAATCTCGAATTTTAAATTGATCGGATGAATGAAGCGACCATAATGATAAGCGTTTCATGCGATAGCACAGTGGTAAAACACGTAGTGTGTCTTGAGCAAGTCCCGGGTTCAAATCCCGGGCCCGTCGAACTTTTTTCCCAAAATGCATACAAAGATTGTTTTTGCCGAATAGCTTTAGCAAACTACGACGGAGCCTTAATGGCACGGTAAATCATGACCAAGCGCTTTTCTTGCGCCGGTGCATTCATCAGATCTGCATCTTCCTCACTTTCACTACCCTCGATGAGATCTTCTTCGAGCCACAAACTGCGCCGCAAGTGGCATTTGAATAGGGTCATAACCCCAAGGGCTGCACAGTACTTGTGGCATTCGGTGGGACGACAGCAACAACACAACCGCCTCCTCCCTTGCGATCTTGACACCTTGCAGACATGCGGATCACAGTTGTCGAGCAGCAAAACCGTGGGCTCCCGCACTTGTGGCTTCAAAACTTTTCGCAGGTACATGGCCCACACACGAGAATCCATCCATGCGCTCTCCTGCACTGATTAGTGGTGTCCAAGAGGGTACGTCTCGAACTCATTCTCCTCGATCGCGCCGCCGGGAACCCCACGCATAATGAACAGGATGGGGAGCTTCTCTCCGTTTGCACGAGCTCCCAGCACAGCTGTCATGCGGTACGAGTGCTTTTCGCCACTCGCAATCTTCGCCGTTCCACCGCGCACCGACCAAATAGCATGCGGTGGCATGTCATACGTCATGCCTGTCTCGTCCACGTTGATGACGTTGCCATCGCTGAAACCAGCGAACGCCTTGTGGTAGTTGGCGGCGAACGTCGTTCGGATGGCAGCAAGATCCACCTGGGTCTTCTTCGACTTGGCTGGCTTCTGGCGCGAGAAGCCATGGCGGCGGCAGAATTGTTGCAGCAGCTTGAGGAGCGACTGGTATCCACAGTTCTTGTTGGCCAGGTAACAGTCGAGCCACGCCCGGTGGTACCTCTTGAGGTAGTTGACGAGGTGCGTGCACGTCACAGCGCGTTCGGCGTCACGTAGCGTACGTATGAAGGCTGCGAGCGTGGCCGTATCGGGATCTCTTCGGGTCGACCAGCGCCATCAAGGTTGAACCGCTTCGCCGTGCCGTCGAAGGTGAGGGGTTTGATGGCCTGTTTGGCCCAGCGTCCCAGGATGCTCTTGGGGATCCCAGTCGGTGTCTCCACGTCTTGAGTTGATGCTGTCTGTAGCGCTCTCAGCATGGCTCGCTCCACAGCCTGGGTGTAGCGACGTCTCGGCTTCTTCGGGGGACTGATCTTGCTGCGGTACTTTCGTGGCATGCTTTGAAGTGACTGGATGTGTTATCGTCATCACCTCCGAGTGCCCGCGATTTTAAATGTTGATATATAATTCCGCCAATCATAGCATTATTTGCTTGTTTGAATCTTATTGGCCAATTCTTTCCCACTTGAAAACTTCGGGTGTCCCTTAAAATCCGTACTTCAAGTTGTAAATTGATCTTGTAAACTCGACTTATCAGCAACAACTTGGATTAAGGTGTTTTATCCGGATGCGCCGAGCCGAAAAGTGGATTTCGACCTATTCATACTCCGTACGTTAGAGTATCAAAACAAAAGAGTCTCTACCTTGTTCATCGCCGCCTTGGTTGTTTCCCGAGTCTTCTCCAGGTCCTGATGCCTCGTGCACTTATTCTTCTGAACTGTCGCAGTATATTCGGCAACGTACACCAAGTGTGCATCGACTTGCTTGTACGAGCGCTGTACGTTGACCTTGCAGAGATTGCAAGAATGGGAGACTTCCAAAACCGTCGCAAACTTCTTTGAGTCGATGTTTTTCATCCGGAATTATAATTCAATTCACCCATACTTCTTTGCTGAGACGCAAATAGAGTCTCAGCAAAGAAGTACGCAAGGCGACTCAAATTATAATTTACAAAATTTATACCATACTATAAACAAATACAGTACCTTCATTGTGTTTGATGAAGTGGTGTTGCTGGCGCAGGTTGATGGGGACTCGGACGCCGACGATGGCCAAGCGCACGGATGGCACTCAAGGAGCGTCATTACTTGACCTCGCCATCCCTCATCGCAAACAAACCAACCCGTGGACAACCATGTACGCCGCCCGCGACCGAAACTCGTTCATCACGTCACGTGATGAACGGCGGCGTACATGCTTGATGCCGACACCTTTGACCTCTTGCTCGCCTTCTTAAGCACTACTCAGTTCACCATCTCAATGGAAGTGGAGGAAGACCACCAAAGATCAACAGTATCAACGAAGCACTTTCGCTGATGTTGCACTTCTACAGTGCACCATGCGAAGTCAAAACACTCTGTGTTACTACTTATCAAGCAATTTACTGTTAGTAAATACAGCTAGCATACACTGATCGAACTTCTCGCGCCGTTCATGCATCTCAAGCTGCTGGGTTTAGAATGCTGCATCAGTGATGCAGCATTCCGAAAATGGAGGAGCGTGATGCTGTATCACTGTTCTGCATGGCGCTGCAGAAAGACCTATGAGCCTTTTTAGAGGTCGGCTCATGGTCTCATGATCGGTAAGGCCGTTAGTCTCCATTATGTGCAGTAGGCCGCCATTCGTCGTGCGGTTGTAGCCATTGTCGTGCGGTTGAAAGATGTGCATTGTTGGCGCATTTTCATTGGACGAAATGAATAGAATTAAAATAGACCAGAAAAAGTAATTCGTAGTAAGTGACCTCAGTTTGTAATTTAATTCGGCCTCCGCAAGAGGTTCCCGTCCGGATAACGACTGGAGCGAAAACAATCACGCTCCTCCATTTTCATAACAAAGTCAATTAATGCAGCACCGGATTCCTTGCGTTGCTGGGGACCGGTGTGCGTCGACGGCAAGAAAATCACGTGGACCTCGGGTCTGTTCATCCTTTGCCTCGCGATGGCTTTGCCATGCTCTTGTTGGGGGACATCGTCAAGTTACTTCGACACAACTGGTCAACAATGCTGTACAAGGTTTTGATTGGCCTATTATATCCAATCACAGCTATGCATTTTTGAATG